CCTGCGCAGAAGCCTGAGCACCCCAAATCCTCCCGAAGCCTGTCCTTTCTCCCGAGAACGAGGGGCCTCTTTAGAACCAACCCTCTCGCCCCTTGGAATGCTCAGAATTCTCCCCTCAGCTCTCTGCAGATGGCATCTTGCCTTGAGTTTCCTTTTTTAATGAAAATGCTCCCATGAGCTGATCATTAGGGTGCCCTTACCACACCCCTTGCTTCTCTTGACTCACAAACCCCTCTGATTACTTCAGAGACAGTGAAACGTGTGTGTGTGTGTGTGTGTGTGTGTGTGAAGTTACTCTCTATGTTATTTTATGTTATTTGATGACATATCACCTCTGGCCTTCCTGGAACATTTTAGTTCATTTCAGGACCATTTTACCTATCATTTAAGATTTAAAAAGTCAACTCTTAAAAACCTTAAACTCTAAAGGAAGGAATGAAAAAGGAACACTATTATAAGGATGATTTTTGAAAAATTTTCCTACAAACATTGAAGGAAATATAAACATAAGTTTTTTGTTTTGCCCATAATCCTACCCCAACCCCAGACTGGTTTAGTTTATCTAACTTCTCTTCCAGCTTTTACTTCCGTCGTTGCAAACTTTTGTTTTTCTCCCCCTCTGGGCTTTTGATAAACACGTTCCCATTTTGCAATATATTAGTTTTTCGTGTTGGTGTAATATATTCCGTCCAGTTGATACCCCGTAATTTATTACCCGTTCCGTTAGTGCTGGACATTAAGGTTATTTCCATTTTCTCTATTATAAGTAATAGGAGCAAGAACATCTTTGTATTTATAACTTTTTTTTTCCTACATCTGAGTTATATCCTTAGGATAAATTCCCAGGAGTGGGATTAGTGGGTCAAAGGGTACGAACAGCTTTATGGCTCTTAATATTTATTGCTAAATTGCCCAAAGGGTCATTCTAATTTACAATGCCACCTGCAACACATGAGAGGAGCTGTCCCTCCCACCCCTTCCAACACTGATTTCTTTAGTCAGTAGTTTGGAGCAAATTTAATAGGTATTCAAGGGTACCTCATTACTGTTTGAAATTATTAAGTTCTTTAGTTATCAACATTGTACGTTTTTCTTAAGTGTGTTTCGTATATTCTATTTTGTAAGGTTTGCTTTCATGTTGGAGGTTTATATTTTTTGACACTGGGTGGAATTTAAAATATTTTATAATGAAAATGTCAAATGCACTTAGGACAGAGAATAATCAATGAAGTGCTCTAGACTCACTACCCAGATTCCACAAATAGTAAAATGTGGCTGTAGTTGCTTTATGTGTCTCTTCTTTTCCTCCCCCCTTCATGTAATTATTTTAAAGCAAATCCCAGACATTCTGCATATGTTTCTTATATACTTCACCATGCATCTCTAAAACATGTGGACTTTTTCTTATATTATCATAATACCATCGTCACACTTAACAAAATTAATGATAATTCCTGGGTATCATTGAATAAACCCATCTGTGATAATATTTTTTGAAATATCTTTAAAATGTCTTTTACTGATGCTTTGTTCCAATCAGCACACAGAGAAGGTCCATTACATTTGGTTGTTATGTTTCTAAAGTGTTTTAATCTATAGCCTGCTGCCCTCCTTTACACCCCCCGCCCCCTGCCAGTTTCACCCCCACCAGGGACATGGAGTTGGTTGTCCTATAAAGGTTCCCACATTCTGGATTTGTCTTTTTCTTCCCTTATTTGCTCTAGAAGCTCTCCTAGATTCAGTTTCAACTTCTTGTGTGTGAGGGGAGGCAAGAATACTTCACAGTGGTGCTCTGTGATTCATTTTGCATCATTTTAGAACACGCAGTGTGTGGTTGTCCCACTTTTAATGAGGCCAAAGTTGATCATGGATTCAGATGGTGGCAGCCTGAAGCAGTTGTAAAGCTCCTCGACAGCTTTGCCCCTCACACTTTCATCTGTTCATGGTGGTTGCTCGAGTCAGTTGTTTCATGGGGATTACACAATGGTGATTTTCTCATTTATTCTTTTTCTGTTTTTTTTTTTAAATTATTATTTTTAACCCATTTATTAACTGGAATTCTTCTGAAAAGTACAACTTTTCCCCTCATAGACTAGGACTTTTTAGTCATCTCAAAATGCAGTTTGTATAAGAAAGGCAGGATAAATGCTTTATTCTTTCCTCTAAATTGCCAAGTTTGTAAATAAGGGTGTGTGCCCTTTCACTTCCAATGGTGTCCAATGAGTAGTTGCTGTTTTGTTTCTGAAGAATCATTATACACACACACACACACACACACACACACACACACACAGTAGAGGCCCAATGCTCGAAGAGTTTGTGCAAGAATGGGCCTTCCTTCCCCTGGCTGCTGGCACCACCTTCACTCGGGCCTGGAGCCGCCTTTCCACCTTCCCATGCTGCCCAGAGGTCTGGAGTGGCTTGGGCAGTGCAGAACACTGCTTGGTGCCTGTGTACGCAAATTAACCCATCTTTGTTGGGTTAATTTGCATACTCACTCCTGATTGGCTGGTGGGCGTCATGAAGGTATGGTCAATTTGCATCTTTCTCTTTAAATATATATATTCCATTCAATTCCATTCATTATTCTTTTTGATGCTCAAATTGTCCCAACCTTGGCCCAGGGAAAACCTTTCATGTCCATGTTTTCAAGCATAACAAGGTGTTTGGGTTCATTTAATATTTTTTGCCCCGTAAAGAGGGCCACTCCTTCGAGATGTCCTGTGTCCTTTTGGTGAGGAATGGTATTTAGAGACCAGAATCTGCATATATTATGTGTTTGTTGTTATTGTTCCTAAGTTTTCTCCATGGAAAAAGTTAGGAAATGCATATTTAACAAAAGAAAATAAAAGATTATGTGTTCCTACTGATATTTTTATTTCAAATTTAATAAAACTCTTTTTACTTCTTTGATTTCATACTTGTATTTCTTTCTCTTACACTAAAGTCTTGATTCCAAATATAAAATACTGGCAGCCCAATGCACGGAATTCGTGCAAGAGGCTTGGCCCTTGCAGCCCCGACTTCGTCTGGAAGGTCGTCCAGACAATCATTCTGCTGTTCAGTCTAACTAGCATATTAGCTCTTTATTATATAGCTCTCTATTATATAGGATGTTTAACAATATATTAATTTAAAAATAACAATACAGATATTACTACTAACAATTTCCCTAGTGAATGAGAGGTGTGTTTTTTTGCAATTCTGTTTATCTTTAGAATACATTTCACTAAAAAATATAGTCAAATTATCTTGTTAAAATGCTTGAAGTATTATTTTCACCAATTTAATATACAGTTAAGTTCCTTTATTTCAGTTTGTTTTCAGGTTTTAGGGTTCACTTATTTTGTCCATTTTGGTTTAGTTTTATTTTTTGAATCTGTAAAATATGCTTTCAAAATTAAACCTATTGATATAGTTTTATCAGAAAAGTCTTTCTTCTGTGTCCTCTATCTAATTTTCTCCCCTTCCCTATGGCAACTATTTTTTAATAATTCAGATTTTTTTTTATCTTTGCAGTATGTCTTTTTGCAAATATGTTTGCGCTCATATATCCTCACCTATTTTACACCAATGCTAGCAGACCATGTATTCCTTATAATACACCAGATCAATGTTTTAGAGATCTTCATTTTTCTTAGGTTAGATAGACATTCAGTGCTAAGATGCACCACGGTTTATTTAACCAGCCACTTATTGATAGAGTTTTGTTTTCTAAACAAAATCCTGTTCAAGTCATTTCATATTTTGGCCAATATGTCTTCAAAATCTATTTTTAGAAATGGAATTGCTGCCCTGGCTGGTGTGTTCTGTGGTTAGAGTGTTGGACCACACACGGAAGGGTCACAGGTTTATTCTGGTCAAGGGCACATACCTGGGTTACAAGTTTGATCCAGGCCACTGTTTGGGTGTGTGTGGGAGGCAACCAATCCATGTGTTTCTCTCACATCGATGTTTCTCTCTCTCTCTCTCTGTCTCTCTCTCTCTCCCTCCCACCTCCCCACTCCCTCCCTCCTCCCTTCCCTAACACATCGATGTGTCTTTCTGTCTTTCTCTCTCTCTTCCACTCTCTCTAAAAGATCTGGAAAAAATATCCTCAGTAAGGATTAACAAAAAAGAGAAAAGAATCAAATTGTTGAGTCAAAGGGTAGATGCAATTATATTTTTATACTTTTTATAGGAATTGTGTCATTTTGCATTGAGAGGGACTTTAAAAACAACTTTGGAAATGTTCAAATTCAATATACAAGATTGTTTGAAAATTAGTGCATTCTTCAAAATCATGAGTTACTGAATGAACCTGCACGCTATTCCCACTAGTTTCTGAGTCACGCCCTGGTACACAGTACCCTGGTTCATGCTTTAGGGCATCTGTGGTTTTGTCTATGGAGACATGATATGTTTAAGAAGAACAAAGAGGAGTCCGAGAGAGAATATATGTATCAAAAAGCAAAGGCGAAAGCCCAGCTCCAGCCCGTCTCTTTAGGGAGCCTTCCTCCTCACCCCAGGCCACAGGAGCCCCCAGTCCTCTGAGCTTCATTAGCAGTTTGAGTGACAGTTGCCCTTTCCCCAGACCAAAATTTTTGACACCTGGTTGAGCAAATAGGAAGCACTGACAGGAATAACAGAGCTGATTGTTTGACATGCTGGGAACCTCATATATTTAAACTGAGGAATTATTTTATGTAGACTCGTATCTGCATTTCCCAAAGCAAGTTCCGTGGGATGGTAATAAGGGTTACGCGGCAAAATCAGTGTGACTAGGTTAGGTTACACACACCTAATGACACACGACTCCAAAATCACGTCTGATGTCCCAGGCTTACCTGGGCACGGAATTCCCTTTTCACGGAGCTTCTCATGTTCATGCCGTTCCTTGGAACACACAGAACCAATGGATAGGTCTTGTTTAAATGAAAACCAAAGGCGTCTCTTCCAGCGGATTTACCTGTACAGTTCTGTAATTTTGACTAACAATCTTCAATTTGTTCTCTTTCCAGATTGAATCATTAAAGAAAAAGGTGCAGCAGAAGCAGCTCTTAATATTGCAGCTTTTGGAAAAGATATCTTTCTTAGAAGGAGAGGTAAGACGCTGTTTCTTTAAGCTGGTGTGTCTTCCCTGCCATTACATTTTATGTTGCTGAGCCTACCGTCGACACTTAATTAAAAATATGGCTACTTCCTGGCCTTATAAAACGGATGGAAGGTTAACTGCCAGCGCTGAACATGAGCTCTGACAGCTAGTTTTTCTTTGCCACCTGGCTCTCCTCAGCCCCGCCTGCCGCTCACCTCGGATTTAGGCTCTAATTTTTCTTGTTCAAGAATTTCCTTAGCAAACCTGATAAGCTTTGGAATCATACTGATCATCGCCCACGCTTGTATAGTGCTTCATCATTTGTGAAGTATTTTCACATACATTCCTCACACAATTCTCTCAGCAGCTCTAAGCAAGGCAAGAGCAGGATTGTTATCTTTGTATTAACCAACTTTTATTTTTTTTTAAAGATCATTTTATTGATTTCAGAGAGGAAGGGATAGGGAGGAGAGAGATAGAAACATCAATGATGAGAGAGAATCATTGATTGGCTGCCTCCTGCACAACCCCTATTGGGGATTAAACCCACAACCCAGGCATGTGCCTTTGACCGGAATCGAACCCGGGGCCCTTCAGTCCGCAGGCTGATGCTCTATCCACTGAGCCAAACCAGCTAGGGCTTAACCAGTTTTTAAAGAGGAGAGACAGGGAAGGCAGGTGCTTTGCCCAGGATCACCCAGCTCAGTAACGCCAGGGCCGGGTGGAGAGATGGGCTTTCAATCCAGTGTTCTTCTAGGAAACCAAGTCACCACGTTGTAGCGGTGACTTCATTTCACCTGCAACTTTAAAGCTATTTAGTATTGCTGACTTTCTGGCTTTTTGAAAGTCATTTCGGGATTTTGTATAGGTTCCAGAGAAGGAAATTATGGAGTTGGAAAAAAAATTTGAGGGCTTAGGTATTAACTGGAGGAGAAGCCAAAATTTATTTGCTCTGAAGAGTATGTATTAAGAGCTTGGCATTGAGCCTCTTCCTTCTGAACCTCCATGAATCTCGCCTTGTCTAACTCTTCATTATAGTCCTTCCCCCGGGACAGCCCAGGGGAGGATGAAGTAAGGGGCCAGGAAAGAAGAGGCATTTATTAAGCACCTCGTACTCACTGGGCACTGTTAATTACTCTCTATATCCTTTGTATAACATTGACGTTGAGTGGGATCAGACTCCTGCTTCCTATTAGCTGGGTGATGCTGGGGAAAGTTTCTTGTAAAATGCGAATGTTAACTGCATCTGTGTGTGTGTGTGTGTGTGTGTGTGTGTGACTGTGCAGCGAGATGCATAGAGAGTGCCTGGCAGGTACTGAGCACTTGTTAACCTGTGACTTGTTAGTGTTGTTCTTCTTTATTGAGAGAATGCCCAGAGAGTTAGATTATATTCTCCCCATTTTATAGAAGGGGAAATTGAGGTTTAGGTCTCTTAAGGAACATGCCCAATGTGGCGGAAGAGCTGGGTAAGCCTGGGTTCAAAGCCTGAGCTCTTAACCAGTATGTTTGTTGGGGTGGCGAGCTGGGTCTTCATTTGCTCCGTTTTGGAGGGACTGCCTACAAAAGTCACAACCAGCAGTCCCTTGGTGTCCCTGGGGCCCTGGTAGCAGATTCAAGGCCCGGGAATCTCAGTGTCCTGACAGCTGTGTCAATAGATACTTGCCCCGTGCCCTTCCCGTCTCCTCCTCCGCAGTCACTGGGTCCAGCTCCAGCCCTGTGAATGGGCATTTCTGTTGTGAAGGCTGCCCTCTGAAATCAGCTCCCGTGAAGGGATCACACGTGCCCAGTGAGAGTCAGGGAGTGAGTGTCGCAGTGGAAGCTCATGGTCTAGAGAGTGTGGTTACAGGAGAGAAGAGGGAAATGCTGGCAGGAGAGACAGTGCCCAGCAGCCCTCCCCCTCCTCCTCCCCTGGCCGGGCTATCTCTCAGATCCAAAGGAGAGAGAATCCTTTTCGGAATAGCTAAGGAGAGAGGATGTGGGTGATTCTTAGGTCACAGGAGTAGGTGGTTTCAGGGTGATTCACACTCAGGACCCGTTGCCATGGTGATGCATTGACAGGTCATTAGCATTATGGGAAATGAATATGTTCCTTATTACTCATATGTACTTGGACCATGTAGAGGTTTCATCTCCTGGGACATGAGAGAGTGAGTCTGAGTGCTTGGTTTTCCTCTCTCGGCTGTGTGACTAGCTCAGCGTGTTGCAGACACACTGCTGACTGTTGCTTTCTTGCTCATTGTGTGTGACCACTAATGCCATGGAATTGCTGCCCCTTTCTACCTGGCTGTATGACTACCAAGGCCAAACAGTCTTTCCATGGGCCCTGATGTGCTGGGACGACCTGACTTACAATTAATTCCTTTTGTTATTCTTTCCTACTTAACACAGAAATTTTATAAGCACACATATAATGAGCTAGGGGCCCAGTGCACGAATTCATGTACCTCGAAAGGAACTGTGGGCCACGAGGCTGCGGTGGGCACAGGGGCGGGTCTCGGCCCATCCTCTGCACCCCTGCCCAGCCCCTCCTGCCAAGGCCCTGTTCCCCTCTCCGCTGGCAGCCCTACTCCCACTGCTGCTGCTCCCATGCGCGGACGGCACCGGCTCCATTTGCACCCTCTGATGGTGCAGAGCCATTGGGGCTGGCACCAGCAGCGGTGCAAGTGGGACCAGTGCCATCAGTGGGTGCCAGTGGTGGCTGCTGCCCCGATCACCCCTCAAGAGCTCAGGGAAATAGAGAAGCCCTCAGGGGTGATTGGGGCCGGCAGCCACTGATGGTGCCAAGTGATCAGGACTGGCACCGGGCGCCAGCAGCGGGTGCAAGCGGTGGCGCCAGCTGTAGATGCGAGCGGGGCTGGCGCTGGCAGCGGGTGCGAGAGGCGGCTGCTGGCCTCGATCGCCTCTCAGGAACAGGGGGAGGTGGAGAAGTGCTAAGGGACAATCAGGGCCAGCAGCCGCCACTCGCACCCACCGACAGTGCTGAGCAATAGGGGCCGGCTCCGGACTCTGGGACCAGCAGCAGGGGGGAGCGGGGCTGGTGCCAGCCCCAGGTACAAGCGCC